GGTCTCACCGTTGAAATAGAGATGCGGCGGTCAAAGTTGATTATATGCGCATATTCGGCATCCGTCAGATCCACGATGCAGCGCTTGCCAGAGTAGGCCTGCTCCAGCTTTTGCTGATCAAAAGCAAGGATATGGCGGCTGACTTGGCTGGCGCATCGGCTTTCACTGGCAGGGGCCGTCATGGTGGAAGTTGTGAAAGAAGAGTCTGAGCCCCCCATGTCGTCTGTTTTATAGGCGCGGATTGATTCTGCCAGGTAAGACACGGACTCAGAGAGAGGCTGCACGTCGTCACGCGTCACCCTCCATCACTCAAAGCGGTGACATGACGTTACGGCCAAACAACTGAGATAATCCCCGAGACACTTTAGTGTAGAGGGTTTTGTCGAACATGAAATCAGACTAAGGTTTGGGAGGGGTCCAATGATGTCACTGTGTAACGGTATGGCGATCGGCTCATTGGCTGACAAGAAGATATGGTGGATGAAGGGCGAAGACTGCAGCTGGATGGTGAGATGGAACACAAGGTCGTCGGCGATGGGGTCGGCAGAGATCACTCGGATGATAGGTGCGGTGCTGGGTGAGGAGTCACTACTCAAGGCGAGCAGATCAGTCAAGGTGAGAGTGAGTGGGAGAGCTATGATTGTGATGGGGGAGAATACAAGAGGCTGCTTGGGGGAAACCCCTCTGAGCAGCCCTCCTTCTTATATACATGCGTGAGGAGTTATTATTAGTATCTACTGTATTCTTCCGCCCTCTCCTTGCACTGTTCTTCTACTACTCTTGGAATGATCTCCTTGCAGCATAACCTCTTTGCGGAACAATCCCTTCTCGGATTTGTGGAGTGGGAACCTTAGTTCTCGGACTTATGCGAGGATGCATCCTTTTCCAGATACTTCCAGTCTAAGGTTCATCCGAGTCCAATGAGTATTTGTATTCGCACGAGTGGAGTGGGAACTCCTAAGCGTACTTCTTCTTATCATATCCTCGGATTACCATATTCCTTGAATAATCGGAGAGGCGGAGAGTTATTGAATTGGCGGATGCAAACATCATACACTTATGTTATGCATTAGCGTAACACACTGACCTTGTTGCTCGCACGCTTGAACGAGTACCAGAAAAGGAAAGGAATCGAGTGATCACGATATACATATGACAATGGCTTATACTACCTGAGTCATCTGTAATATGTAATATCCCTTGGCTGGATCGCGTCGTTCGCGTTCCACCTTGTTCTACTCATCAATTCAAGCTGCTGGTGCGCACGCTCAGCGCTCAGTGCTCAACGTTCACCACCGCTTACTATTAGCTATAGCCTGCCTCCTTTCTCTTTGATATCTGGCCCAACCTTGTCAACACTTGCTGTAAAACACTGAACTAGACTAAGGCTAAATGCCCACGAGATTAGCAAATCATATCGATCATTCTTGCTTCTGCTCGCATGTTGGTCCATACTCTCGCTGACTCCCGCTCTTGTCCTTACATCTGCCTTCTGCATTGGTCCGCTTTCTCCTGCCATGGCTTCTCATGCTGATACTTGTTAACTCACCTAGTCTATTCTCACACCCGCACACTTTCTCATGTGCTTGCATTATCGCCGATGCATCCATGCGCCCGCCCTCGCACATTGGCACTTCCTTTCTTCCTCTCCAGCTTTAAATTTATGATATACTTGAGTTCAGAGAGCTGACCGTAGCGGTCCCAAAACGGCGCAACAGTACAGAATAGCAGCTACCATGTGTGTGACCGTGTCATTTTACGTGCTGCTGCACAACAGCCTGCCATTATGGAGATATGGCTAGATGAACATCACTTACAGGAGATCGCAAACAAAATACAGCATGCGATGACGAGTGCCGTGTGCAGTCTCTGTTGGAACTATTGTGCTTGACGCGCTGTGTCGAGTGTGCACTTGCTCACACCTCCAGTATTTCTCCATTTTTGTTCTCTTCTTTCATCCAATTTGCGCGAAGGCTTCGAAAAATGGCTCGTATGCGAGCCATTGATCTTGCATTTTCTTGTCTCTTTCTTTTATTCCTCGCGTATATAAAAACAGCTAGATAACCCATCAGGACAACTGGTCTCAGGGATTTCAATTCAGTTTTAATTTACTGAGCCTTTAAAGTGCTTTAAACTTCCCTAAGCTTCACCCAGTTCCCCCGATGCCTCTTGATACCCTCAGTGCTTTCGTCCACACTGAGGGCGTCCTTTCCTTTTATATAATTGATATGTTTTGCTCACACTTGATGTAATTAACTGTGCACGGCGCGTTTTGCTAGGCTCCATCTCGAGCACACCGCCGCACTTCTGCTCCCCAGACCATCTCCGCGCTTGCACTTCGTCAACAGTTTCGTGCTACTATTTAAAACTCCCAGACATTCCATACACCAGAAATCACAAATTGGATGGGAAGCTTGTGCTACCACTAGTACTAGTACCAGTACTACGATGAAGAGCTCGACAACAGGTCCGAATGCTCATGTTGCATTGTATATACAGAAACGAAGGCGCAATGATATCTCCGCCATTTACCACATGTATAAAATGTCTTTTTGCTATAGCTCAGACTTCCTCTAAGCTTAAATTCTCACATCTTTTACACTTGTCTGCAAATTTTGTCTCTTGATGACTACGGCCGATTGGGCAGCAACGAGCGAGCGCAGTGAGCGAGTGCTGCCCTGCCGGCCACCTTTCACAGTAAAAGTGGGGCCCAGACACTGGGCCATCCCTATGCCTTAAAGTTGGTGTCTCGGGGACTGGCGCGCGCGCCGCTACGATTAGCTAATACAGAAGCAAGTCTGGGGAGTTCCAGGTGGCCGAACGCCGGGTGCAAACGCAGCCACGGCAGCCGCTCTGAGCGCCGCCTTGCTAAGTAGTGCTCTGCAGAGCAGCGGGGAATATTGGCGATCTAGGCACCATCTTTGGCCTGTATAGTCTCCGGCAAGAGGTGCTCAACGAGGTTCATCGATCGCCCTTGCGCGCTTGCAAAAGCAATTTTTTGGCGCCTCGCATTCTTCACTCCAGCACAATCTAGGGCTTGGTGCCGAAGTAACACGGATTATTGCCGGTCATACACCCAACACAAGCATGGTTGACCGCTACTACAGCCGAGGTGCGGAAAACCTGTCGGTCGTGAATATGCGAATGCGGGAGGTGAGCTTGACAAACGAGACTATGGTGACGGTACGTTGCTACTTTTAGATCAAAGGCCCAACAGACGACGACACTTACTAGTGCGAAAACGCATAGCAAATGAGAGAGAAAAACGAGAGAAAGTGTTTGGCACTCTTGGCCCTCGTCGCGCGAGAGCGCATGGCCCAGAATCTCGACGATGGTGCGGGTGAGCAACTCCACGCTGACCCTAAGCCCAAGGCACGCAAGAGCGATAAGCGTACTGAGACAATTGACAAGGAGCTCAAGGTGTGGCTGATTCCTCCACGTATCAAAGTCGCACTAATCCGACGCTCTCGTAGGCCGATCCTCAGGTTTTGGAGGCACAAGCGGCGCTCGACAACGCTTGGTCTTCATTTCTCGACTTCTTTGTACCTCTTGCGCGTGGCTATATCAAGGTTCAGGCGAAAATCACAAAGATCACCAGTTCCACACGCCTCAAGGATATTCACGAGCACGAGGGCATGCTAAACGTACATCCGAAAGGAGCATCCGCCACCTTGCTGCTTCTCTTAACATCTGTGTTTAGGCGGAGCGTGCACTACGCGCAGCCCATGCTCTGTACAACAAGCACACCAAGGCTCTCGGTCGCGCAGTGACTCGCGATTTAAACAAGGCCGATCACGCTGCTTCGGCATTGGCCGCACAAAGCGGTCCACTCGACGACCGCGCCGCTGCACTCGTCCAGCTCAAGCAGCCCAGTTCTATCTTATCGCACGTAGCCAACGCCACCTCAGTCGCATCATCGAGCTCGTCGACACGGCCATTCGATGCTTCATCCTCCTCGGCTCCGACACCCTCCTCCTCGGTGCTTTCACCTGCTGTTTCATCTTCTTCAGACACTGTCCCTACCTCGGTCACCGAGGCTGTCCAGGTGTTACAGGACGAAGGCGATGAAGATTTAGAGCTTGTGGCACCCGGCATTGAGGAGATGTATCGCTGCGGGCTGGGCTAGGGAAAAGGCAACCACCCCGTGGCGGCGACGACGACGCAGATGAACCCATTGATCCCCGGCAGTTTGACACTGTTGATGCCCCTTCCTTTGATGATAAGGAGGTCGACGTGCTCAAAATTCCCACCGACGAAGTCCGGGTTGCTCTAATGGAATGGATTGCCCAGCCCGCAATAGAACAGATGCAGCGTAAAGAAACCATCCAGGTACTACGTTTCTTCCCCTCTTGCTTCCCTTTTATATGGCGTTGACCGCCCTCCCCTCAGAGTGACGGTGGTTTTGTCTGCAACGTATGCAAAGTGCTCGGCAAAAACAAGAAGTTCGAGAGCAAGTCTTATCTTGACCGCCATATGTAAGAAATTTCCCTCGTTTGACTCTTCTTCTTCATTCAGCCTTTTTTTTGTTCAAGGACCTCTCACACCGAATGGAAACGCTCCGTCATCGAAATGCTCAAGCCTGATGTCCCGGGTGATACTATTGCCCTGTGGGATGCCCCAACGCCCAGTATGTGCTACTATTCAGCTGCCTGCGGCCCATCTGACAGCCTCCTAGGTACAGGTACAGCACCGAAAACTCGGCCAGGCAGCATCGCGTCAAGCGATGCACCGACAAGGCTCGTTTCATACAAATGAAGGCTCTATCCAAACTCGAAAGAAGGAAAGGGTGAGTAAAGCCGCAAAATACGCCGCCAGAACACAACAGACGCTCGAGAGCCCCGCCGCTCCATAATATCAGGGGGAAGTTATGATGCAAGCCGTACTCGATTCCATTCATGCCCACGATTACAAATTGTAATACAAAATCGTACGACTCTGATGGATACCTCTAACCTTCTACGGGGTTTCTACAGATACTGCTTGCAATGGTACACTTTCGAGCCCGCCTAGCTCAATCGGCTAGAGCGTCAGACTTTTACGAATATCATTCGTCAACTCCATCTGAAGGCTGCGAGTTCGACCCTCGCGGTGGGCTAATCGGTTACCATTTTTTTTGCTTGCCCCTGCCCCATCATTTTGTCTTGGACTGTCTGAGCAACCTTCACTTGCCCCCATGGGGCACTCGGCCCTGTGCGATGCAGAAGGTACGTTTTCTTGTTTATATGGGCGCCTTTTAATTTCAAAGAGGAATGGCCACTTTGATTCGCACATTGATAATCCATCTGACTTGCAGTTGCACCCCCAAGGGCAAGATTTTTAAGCTTTGAACGGTGAACACTAGTACTTAATCTGTAAAGGGCCCGTGAAGTACCGCATGGCGCGCACAGCTTTCGTTATCAAATATCTTGCATATGGTTCTGCTGTGGCTATAAATGGGTGATGATACATAGCCCTGGAGTGTCATAGCCCAGATAAAAATCGGATTGGGTGGATGCTGAGTCGGGGGGGGGGGGGGCACTTGAACCGTGATAACTAAGTACATTAACTAATTCCTGAATACTTGCTTCTGAACGTCCCTAAGGCAAGGACACATAGATCAGGGGAGGGGGTACGTACACTCATAGCTTTGAAGGGTCAGGTTTTCTTTCCTCCAGCCCCAGCGCTGCGGCGTCGGCAAGTAGTACGGTGATTTATACGAGTTTCAAATGATGGTGTTGAGTAGCGTCAGTCACAAGAATGTTAAGATAGGCCACATCCATACTCATACGAGACCAGATGCAATACATAGTCGAAATCGTTACTTTGGCTAAGGATATTTCTGTAGTGACATTTGAGCAAATCTGTACTACCAAATGGTAGAAGCACATTATGCGAACACTTTGATAGCTCAGTTCTTCTCAATTCTATGTAGTTGTTGTGCAGAAGGAGCTGGAAGGGTCAGCCCGTACAGGAGGCTTCGGCAAGCGTGACAAACCCGGCAATCCGGAAACCGGATCCGGGAGCCTTGTTCAACGCTCAGGCAGACTTAACCATGCCGCGTCACAGAAAATCAAGAGTCAGCAACCCCAGAGAATATGCAATGCCTGGCATACCAAGGAAGTGGGCACTTGAGGAAGAAGATAAAGAAAGTGTATGTATTATAGTGATTTCTCTAGCTGGATTTTGTTTGCCTAACTCGAGTTTTTTTTT